TAACCTAGGGACATAAGCGTGGAGACCCTGCTAGCTAAAGGCACATGAAACATCCTACAAGTTCCATGAACCAATTATGTCTAGGTCTTTGGCCTGTGTAGGTGGTCTTTACCCGAGGCAATTTGCATACAATTAATGGGATTCGAATGGATGATATTCAGTTTATGAGCTGGAAATTCACTAATGCCCCAACCAACTACGATAACCGTTTTTTAAGTGTGGCAAAACAAAACACAATGAGAAAATGATCGGTTTAAGTTTGCATGTTAATGGAGAAAATAACATTGATCATGCCAATTAATTTGAAAGAAAAAATCGACCTATTTAGCTTTGTTGAAGGGACTGTTTTTCTATGATATGCTCTTCTGAAAAACATATCTCCCTATTGTATGAAAAGATCTAATGAAACCTATCATTCTCTTGAATTGCCGATTAGAATCAAGCACTCGGAATGATTATGGAACTACTCTGCATGTTCGAGTGCAGGTGTTTAAAAAAATTCAAAATATTGATTACTCGAACTAGATCAAACCAAAACAAATGGAAAATTTTGGTTTAAGTTGTTCGTTTAGTAGTTTATGTTGTGTTCGGATAAAAAGCAAGTAATCGTTTATTTTCTCCCACGTGGTTGCACATGACAACATTCGATGTTAGACCTCACAATATAATCTCAAATTTTTGTAGTTATCTGATAAAAAACACCAAATTCCTAGTCATCCTTTCTTTGTTAAGACCATAAAAAACATTAAACTATGCCCATTTAATACCAATACTCTAAATTTTTTTGAGTCATCAAAACCCAAAACTTGTATTGGTGTGATAAATATATGGGTTAATACCATGAAAAATCCCAAACTAGTAAATCTGTGATCATAAAAAACCCAAAATTAGTACACATGTGACGGATTTACCCTAAACTAATTTTTTGACCATAAAAAGCCTCAAATTGGTACATATGTGTCAAATTTACCCTCTGTTGAATTGAATTAATATCACGAAAAATCACAAGATGGTACACCTATGACAAACGGAGGATAAAACCTCATACTAGTACACCCGTCAACTATCACGTGTAATCCAACTCAGAAATTTGACGGTCAAATTTAACGGAAACTAACAGAGGATAAAATTGTCACATGTGTATCAGTTTGGGGTTTTTTTGGTCAAAAAATTAGTTTGGAGTAAATTTGTCATAAATATACCGGTTTAGAGTTTTTTTATGGTTTTAACCCTAAATATATTTCCGTTGCATTTCTATCCAATATTATCGTTGAAAATCTTACGTGATGGCTCATGTGGATAACAGATGGCAAACGAAGCTAACATGGATCAAATGTGGCTATATTGAAGCCGAAACGAAGTCGTATATGGAGTTAACGAGGTTGTTTTGGGTTCACTTTACAACTAACTTTTTGATGTGATTATTGACTTTTCAATAATGATGTAAACTTAACCGAATTGATAATAAAATAAAGTAATTGACTCAAATTTGCTTGTAAGCAACTTATCTATTTTTATGTTGAAAGTGTTAAGTGGTCTTGGGTTTTTTTTACCCTAAAAGTTAGCTCAAAAGATGAGGCTTTTCCTTACACTTCTAAACTGACCACCTATCCATTCCACATCTGATGTACAATAACCTCAACAATCTTCCGCTCACATATCAAGCCCTGCAACAACCCATATTTCTCGCTTGATTGTTGCTCCAGACTTGTTGGTAATTGGGCTCTGGTACTATTGTTGGGTAGTCTCTCACCCTAAAGTTAGCTAAAAAAATGAGACTTTCCATCATATTTATAAACTGACCACCAATCTCTTTCACAACCGATGTATGATAACTCCAACAATCTTTCCCTCGCACATCAAGCCCTCGGTTGGAGCGGCAACAACCGTTATTTCCCGTGTGACTATTTAGTTCAGACTTATTAGTAACATGAGCTCTGATATCAATGTTGGGTGGACATGGGCCTCTCACCACAAAAGTTAACTCAAAGGGTGAGACATTTCCTCACATTTATAAATTGATCACTAACTCATTCTACAACCGATGTAGAATAATCCCAAAGAAAGTTTTCAGATTGAAGATACTATTCATGATCTCTTGTTTACGTACATCAAAATCGAATGGGTTTTTTGTTTTCCGCTTCCGAATATGGTTCAAAAAAACCTTCGGTTCACCAATTCTAAATCTGACGGTCTAGGAAGAGGAATATATGTAGAAAGGTTTGATCTCAAGACTATGTTCGTGTCGAGGTGCAACTCCATGGGGTAGTCGAATTAGACACAAAACCTACACAATCACTAGCCACATGATCGAAAGAACTAGCTGGTAACAATGAAACTTAATCTTTATCCTTTTAAACATAACTTCTTTGGTTGGCTTCAATCGATCATTATGTTCTCAGTGTGAATTTTCTAACGAGAAACATAGTCAACTACAAACACTCATCATTAGGGATGTTTGACTTCAATTAACTGCTCCGGAAACTAATTTTTCGTCATAATCATGGACGCCTTTAGATACGATTATCATGCCATACACATATCCATCGACCCGAAATAGATCCTCGACTTGCAGCAACCGGCACAACATTTGGGGAACTTATCATATGTTGATGGAAGTAGCGGCTTATGTCAAAACTAACCTTCTCAAATTAAGGTGTAAACACATGATCATTTCGCACAGTTTGGACTAGAAGAATGACCAGAAGTGTGGTATAACAATAGTCCACATGAAGATACATGTTGATATTTCTGTCTTACGGTAAAAACATAAATTGATGAGACCAAATCTCCAGAAATTGCGATTGCGTAGATACATAACTCTTTCATAAGCAGTAAAATTCGTGTTAACATAACAATCGTCCACACTGGCAAACCACACAACGGGTTTACACCCAGGGAGTGATTTTGTGTAGGTTAATGCTCACATATTATGTCTTTGTGGAATTTAGAAATGTCCCGCGTGGAGCTATGGGGAAAATCCTCAGCAATGTTACTTGATCATCCAATTTTGGTAAGACGAAATAGTATGTAAAAGCTAAATCAGAGGCGATTTTATTTGTGAACATAGAAAGGTTCTTCACAAAAGAAGAGGCATAATATTAATAAGTTTTAGGCACATCTTCCATCCAGGGAATCCTGACCACCCTTCGAAACTTACAAGAAAGATTCGCAAACAAGCAATTCACAAGTAAAAATAAAGAAAACAAATGTCAGAATATATTCCATGAACATACTCACTTGCACCATCTACTCTACTCTATATATCTTCTCTCTGGAAGAGATTTGATGGTGATTTGATTTTTGCACCAAAAGCTTCACAAATCAAGTTCAGATGCAAAAATTGTAAGGACAGCGATATATGAGAGAACAAGCATCGGTTTGAAATCTTATTATCCTGGAAGTCCTTAACCTTTTGGATAAAATATAATCATGTTATAAATATTTAATAATATGAGCATTGTCTAGTGTCTATGTAATCCTAAACCTTTTTAACGACTTGATTTTTCCTCTGTACCAACCTACGACTGCATTCCCAGAAAAAAGATTTAGGATTTGATGATTTCTGTTTGTACGACTTAAACTTCGCATAAATTTCTCCCCAATGAAGTTAGAACCGAGCTTTCAGATAGTCTGATAAATGTGCTGTAAGAGCCATAACTAGGTCATCTTGATAGATGGAAAAGATATAAACTACTTCAAAACTGATTAAGAATGATATAGAAACAGACTTAGGGAAAATCTCAAACTTGTAGATATAAAAAATGATTGGTGTAGGCTACTGTTTTGATAAAATCACCATTGATAGGGAAAGCCTTAGCTACAATTCATGGCACCCAAGTAAATTCACTCTTTAGTACGGACAGTGCAAGCCTCAGCTAGATAAGCTTGGAAACTCGACAAAAGAAGAAGCATAAATCCTGGGTGCTTTAATAAGTCATTCTATGAAATACTTTCGAAATATCTTTAAACCAAAATGAAAGCGCAAAATAGTAATCAGCTGAGGCATCTGGATGAATTTGGGTAATATCCTGGTTAGAAGACGATTCAACAGAGAACAGAGAAGAATATATTTGCCAATGCAACCCCAACAGCTCACTTTGCTCTTACACCAGTCTAAGACCAAACCTTCGAATTGAACATCAAATAAATCAATGAAAACCTAGATATACCTCTATGAGTAGTTAGTAACGAGCCTTGAGCCTCAAAAGCTGAGCAAAAGTTTGATATTATAAGCTACAATTACGAACACCATATAATCTCACGATAGGTAGAGTTTGATTCCTTCAGCTTAGCTCGCCCTTTTTATATACTTAAAGTCAAAAGTAAACACGTAAGTAAGATTCAAAAGCATATCAATTAAACTAACCATATAGGATTTATATAGTATATATGATGTCTTAAAGGCTTGATCTAGGTGTGGACTAGGAGGATCCAAAATATAAAACTGTGACACTCGTGTGTCTTCCGTTGTCATCCATCTGTAGGGAAAAGAAAGCGAAAAAGGATGGAAATCCACTGTTTTGTCTTATTGCTTCTTTTTGAATTGATTTAATGTTGCTTTAAATGATACCTACCCACATCTTTACTATTAGTTTACCTCGTGAACTTTCCACTTCTCCAAATGCTTTTGTCCATAAGTAGCAAACCCTCTTTCAACTCGTTCTCAAGGTCAAACAAAATATGTTTAGGTGGCAAAATGATCGTGAAGAGAGAAAAATATAACACGATCGCATTCCAACCAATTTAAAAGTTCCTCGTTCTGCTTTCTTGTGGGGGCTATACTTGAGAATTGAGACACATATAAAAGATCTAATCATCCAAATTGAGTGCATGACACATGAAGAACAAATCATTCTTGTCAATATGAATAATTAAAGATGAATGCACTCGAGTGAATGATCATCACGGTAAACGCATGATTGATCGGCAAACGAACACACACCAATTATTGGGACTGCATGAAATATAGCACACCTATATGAAAATGAGAGAGAGAATTTTTCCAAACGTAGAGCTCAGATTCATCATCATTTGATCGAAGTACACTAAGATTATATCCAACTTTGGCCACTTCATTTTTCCTACTAAGAAGTCTCCAGTCTAAACAGTTCGTGACTAGTTCCCTCGCACACAACTGACACTACACCATTCACTCCTGTCTCCCAAAGAGAAGCCTCAAGGGGTACCCACAAATCTAAAACATATCTTGCAGAAGCCAAATCAAAAAAGAAGAAAAGACTATATAATGCAGGGCCAGGTCAAGGCTCTTTAGACCAATAAGGAGAAAAATCAGCACAAATTTGACCATACATATTCTAAGATCACTAGAAACTAAAATATAGAAATAACAATAAGATAGGAAATACCCATGTTCCGAAAGAGGCAAAAGATGTCTCATATAGGCATCAAACCCATCTTGATCCCACTTATCGGCATCAAATTGGCCTCTCATCTTCAGCCTGTTGTAGCAGCAGGCGGCGGGAGCGCATTGTTATTCGGCTTCTGCTTTGGCCTCTTCCTCTTCTTCTCGTAGCTGACCCCCCGCGCCTTCGCCTGGAAGTCGCGGACCTCCCTCAGGTAAAGCCGCACGGCTCGGGCGCCAAACGGGTTCGCCTCGGGCCGCCCCCCGTGCTCCTCGAACGCGGCCCGGAGGCGGCCGATAAGTGCGTCGAGGCTGCCCCACGCCTGGCGGAGCGGGCACGGGCAGGGTGCGGGCGGGTTCGGGAGGCCGAAGAAGGGGCAGTTCTGGTTGTGGACCTTGGTCTTGCCGAATTGGTCGAGGTACCGGAGGAATTCCAGGACATGGGCACCACTGCACATGGTGAGGGAAAGTGGCGGCCTGTGGTTCCTCAGGTACTGGCAGAAGGTGTTCCAGTCCCGCCGCTTCTGGTTCTCGTAGCGGCTTGGCGTGGGCGGCGACGCCGACATTGGCGACGACGAGCTCGCCCCGATTATGTGGGTATTGATGGTGATTGGGGTGTCGAAGTTGGGGTTGCTTGACGATGATTCTGGGACTAGCTCCATATAGGGAAGTGGTGGGATGGTTTCTTGAAGTGGCTTTTCTTTTTTCTTGGATCTTGATTGGGGATGAGAGATCTGCTAAATTGGTAATATTGGGGTTCTTGCTGATCTAGGGTTTTGCTTCTTTTGTCCGATTGTGCAAGATCAAGTACCAAGAAAAGGCATGAAGTAGAAAGAGAGAGCTGGAGTCACTTTCCTGTCATATGGAGAGAGAGAGAGAGAGAGAGAGAGAGAGAGAGTTCTTAATATTCCATACTCCCTGCGCAGCTGAGAGAAGCTTTTCTTCAGGTGTTGGAATATAACAAATCAAAATGAAAGAGAGAGATTAAAATAAGGAGGATGTTGGATTTTGCATGGTCTTGAGAAGAGTTTTTAATGAAGAGTAGGGCTGGACAGAGAGAAAAATTAAAAGAAAAAAAAAAGCAAACAGGGGGGAAGAATTAGAAGGGTTTCTCTTTCTTTCCCTTTTCCCCCTTGGCCTTGGCCGAATATGATGGTCACTATTCAAATTCAGAACAACAGATTCTCCTCCTCACACGCTCCTTTTTGTGGGTCAAGAAAAGGAGAAACAAGAGAAACTACCGATTCCTGCCATGGAGGATCAGTTTGCTTCTTTGGGTGGACGATGGTTTCTGAAAAAGGAAAATGATTTTGCAGAGGGGGGAAGAGAGAGAGAGAGAGATCAGATCATCAGATTTTTTTTCTTTCCAGGAAAAGACCCAGCAACTGAAGTTGCACACTGCGCGCGCGCACACACACACTCCACTTTAGAGAGCGAGAGAGAATGAGAGGAGACCAGTGGTCAAGACAGAGGCTGTCATCGGGTAATAAGTAAACAAACTGGAGACTGTTTGGTCAAATGAGGACAAGCTTCGCAACAGTACTTGTACGCGCACAGTGGAAGTGATGGTGACCCAGAAAGAAGAGAGTGGACAAGAAACTGATTGCTTTGTGCAAGCAAAAACCAGTCGCAATAATGGCAATCGAGCCTTACTTCTTTGTTCATGGGCGCGTCCACGCCACGCACGAACAGATATGGTTGGATTGCAACAACGATGTTCTCTTGCAGGAACCTTCACAGCAATTACTGTCTCTCCCTCTCCCTCTCCCTCTCCCTCTCCCCCCTCTCACATCAGTCCAAGCTTCAGCGATACACTGTACTTGCGATTTCACTTCTCATCTGGGGATGAAAGTGAGGTCACTGTGACATTACCCTTTATTACATTTAGGCTGCAATTGATGCTGGAGAGAGAACCAGAAGCCGAGTCGAGCTTGAGACATCGCTGAACCATGTATGCTTCCCGATTCATGATTAAAGAGTCCCTTTTGCTAATTTCTTTTTAGCATATTGTTTGGAGAAGAAATGAGGTGTGTAGAATGCTTTTCATGTGCAGGAATTTTGTTTCTGAATTTCTAGAAGTCCTTGTCGTTGTTTTTCTTTGAGAATTGTTTGTGCATCTTTGTAGTCTGGCGCTTTGTTGACTTATAAATATTGATTTTTGGTCAGGAGATAAACGTTTGCTTAAAGTTGAAATTATAGTACTTAGATAATATGGCTGCAAATAAGCTTTTAAATTCACTCACTCGCCTAACTTTGGCTCGTCGCTGGTGATAAATTTGGAGGGGTGTTTGAGGTGAAAGTAGATGGCTTAACTATATCAATATCACGAGACAGTCATGTACCTATCTTATATACTTAAAAGGGTTAATTTTACCAAAAACCTCAAATTGATACATTATGTACAATATTTACTCCGAATAAATTTTTGTGTAATAAAAAATCCCAAAGTAGTACAATCGTACCACAATTACCTCAAACTGCATTAAATCTGTGATTTTTTTGGGTAAATATAATATGGATGTACCAATTGAAGGTTTACTTAACAAATGCGGTTTCTATTGAGAAATTCGCTTATATTTTTCCTAGATTTCAAAAATAATAAGAAAGGTACTATAACTTGTTAAATGGAAAAAGATCTTTGTCCAATCGTCTTAGAAATTTACAGAGTTAATTTGATCTCATTTGAGTTTTTGGAATTTTGGCGAGCTATCCCCCAGCATTTTAAAATTTGCAATTTACCCCTTAACTTTTTGAAATTGATGACACTGTGGCTTCTAGCGCTGACGCCAGTCAAAATTTTCTCAAAAATCTAACTACTTGACTGCACGTGACTAGTTATAGAAGGCAAATCGGCCATACATCATCTATATTTATGAGAAAAAAATAGGGACTACTCAAAATACATTTAAAACTATATATTGATGTGAGGTCAAATTCTCGCAAGAACATTAGGGAGGAGGGCAAATTCAAGAGGTCAAATCGCAAACCGGTCATACATCATCTATATTTTCGAGAAAAAAAAATATAGCTATATATTGATGTGAGGTCATATTCTCGCAAGAACTTTAGTCACACGCAATATATTACTAAATTATTCTTCTACTTTTAATATGTATATACTTATACGACGAATTTACCCTTCCTAATCAGTCCCGTGATGCCAGGTTGTTGGAACTCGAAGCAAACTCTAGTCAAGATCAACACTAGAGGACACATTGCAACCAATTTCTTTAATTCGCGGGCCAAATCACAAAAAAAGAAAAATCAAAACGTCGGGGGCAATTCGCAACAACCCTAAAAAAAAATTTGTGGGGGGGGGGGGGGGGGGGAGTACCCTCTTGAAATCAAACTGCATTTCATAAGGGGCAATGTTGTCCTTTTCTTATTTTCCGGAAAAAAAAACATTGCCTCTCTCATATGTCCATCTCGTGTTTCCTTTATTACGATTTGTCCCATCACATTACATAAGTTTAGATTTTTCTCCCTTTGAGATTGATAAATACTAAATATGTAGGGGGAGGGGAGCGGTGGTGGGGTTGGGTTTGGCCAGAAACCTGCAAATATCGTACTGGGAATTTAAAGCATGATTGCCAAAACAGTGGGATTTTATTAATCCGATTAAAAGAATTTTAAAAAAATAAAAATAAAACGAGGGTTTTATCATCAATGATTTTGATATTCCTTTTTCGCTAGGATTGAGGAACATCCCACTGTTACATATAAACGGGAAGTTCCCGTTTTTCCACTTACAGTATGGAACAAACTTCCTGCATTTGGAATCGCAAAACGGTTTAATTCCGCTTCAAATTTTGAGTTCAGTTCCAAATTTATTAAAAAAATTTATCTAAAAAAATTTTTGATTTTTAATTTTGGCCCAAATCTACTCCGTTAACTTTCCGTTCAAGAATCACCGTTAATCGTTTGACTTGGCATTTTCGTGCGTACATTTTTTTCCATCACTTCCCTCCACGTCATTTTTTCTTTTTTTCTATTTTTTTTTCTCTGTTCTCCCTTCTGCGCCTGAGCTGCTACTCACTGTTGATGCGCACGGACTCCTCCGCCACAGTTTCACCGGCTCTCACCAATCGCCACCCAAACCTCCGAGCTGCGCCACAACCTCCAACGATCAGCTCCTTGTCACCGTAAGGGTGCCGCGGTGGCATTCGCGACCAAGATTCGAGGTCGCGACGCCATGGCCGACCGAGATCCGAGGTCAGCGCGGCGGTCGCGACCTCAATCAGAGGGTCTCCATGTCCAAAATGGCGGCCTCGATCCCTCGTCGTGACACAATGGGTGGTGACCGCGAATCGAGGCAACAAGTCGCGGTGGCATACCTTCGTGCGAGGCAGAGATTTAAACGGCAAGGAGGCAGAGATTTAAACGGCAAGGAGACAGAGCACAGCGACCACTCCTGAGGCAGGTGGGGTTTGTAGCGGTGTTGGAGGAAGGCTGGGCGACTCGCCTGAGATCTTGGCGGCGGCGGGGCTTCGGCGGCGGAGCAAGTGTTTTGGATGTGTGCTTTTATTAGCTATAGGGTTTGGATGGAAATGGGTGTGTGCAAAGGAGCTCGACCACATTGAACCTGTCACGATCAACCACGAGCCTGTCGCAATCGCGACTCGGCCGTAACTTATGACTCATTCTTCTTCCTCTTCTCTCTCAGCATCGACTCGGTCATGCATAGAGGCTGTTACGCCGGCTTCGCGAACGGCTCGGCGTCGAGCTGCTCCTCCACGGCGGTCTTTGCTCGGGGCAGATTTCACTGCATGATTGACGGGAAAGAAGAGCCGTGAGGCCCCCTCACTGTTCATCGTCTTCTTCGTCGAATTTCACCTTCACGGTTTGATTTTTTGTCCCGGTTTTTAATTGCTACTGACATATATAGTTTTTTTTGGTTTTTGTCCCTTTGTTAGTCTGTTGAGGAGTTCTTTCGTTTCTTGAATTTTTGTTGCGCGCGGAGAATTAAAAAAGAAGGACGACATGCGGAGGTTTTTGATCAGAGGACTGGAAATTGGTGATCCTTCATCGAGTCCCAGTGAATAAACTGGAACTCTCCTCACTGTTCATTGGGAAAGAAGAAAAACAGATGAAAATAAAGGTGACGTGGACTGACATGCGGAGGGAAATGAAAGAAAACATGCACACGTGGAAATGCTACAGCGGATGACTAACGATGATCGTTGGACGGAAAGTTAACTGAGTAGATTTGGGACAAAATTAAAAGTTGAAGATTTTATTTAGATAAAAAAATGTTGAAAGTAAATTTGGGACTGAATCTAAAGTTTGAAGTTTTTTTGGGAAATTAAGCAATCGCAAAACTCTCAAATAGAGGATTAACTAATTAATTAATTAATTAAAATTTATTTTATCTGTTGGTATGATCCCTTGATGGCTTGAGGTGACTAATTTTTTGATTTATTTAATTTGTGATTTCTTAGTTCTGATAAAGGGAATCGAAAATTCGGATGATGCTCCAAGAGGAAACCACCAGTGACCCCCCCCCTCCCCGGCCTACAAGGCTAGGCTACAAGATGTGATGGAATGTCAAGACACCGATTAATCCGTACCAACTCAAATCAAAATCAAACAAAATTTAATGCAATGAAAAATTACGAGTTTGCTTTTATCTTTTTTTTTCTAAAGTTGAAAAAAATGCTGTGGTCCAAAGCATTATATGTGTATGAGTTATATTGATTACCCCTGATTAAGAAAATTTAATGCAATGAAAAATTACAAGTTTGGTCGTTTTATTTTTTGATAGGTGTCCGGGATCACTCTTCAATCGTGTTGTGGTTTTATACTTGTAAGCATATATACACAAAAGTAATCCACCTGTTTAATTTACTTTCATGCACGGTTTATATGGAATATTTTAATTTTGCTCACGTAAAAGCAATTTGCTCCACCAATGAAAAATAATTGTCTGTCTGAAAATGATTGCATTCTTTTCTATTCACTTAGAGATACTTACATGTTAAAAGATGAAGTTTCCTTGGTAAGCCTTTTCCATATATTGGACACATAGGTCTACAGGGTCTCAGCTGGAACTTGAGATATTTGGGTTGATTTGAAGATTTAGTTATATTAATTGGAAATTTATTGAAATTAACATTATTGAAGGTTTAGTTCTATTACTTGTACTTTTTCACAACTTGTTCAAGCCTTTCATTACATTCGGTTTACAACTTTTTTTGATAATTATTCAAGAGTCTAATGAGATAAATTTATGGTGCCCCAAATTTAATGGGGGGTAAAATCTGTACTATGTCGAAAGTAGGTATATATAATTAAAGCTCTCGAAAAATTCAGCGAATCCGACCACTCGAAAAGCTTAACCCTCTTGCAAAACTAATTTCTGCCGAAGTGAAACACGATAAATGAAATTAGGGCAACGAAAAATTGATTATTACATGTTGTTGCGTGGAGACCTAGGAGAGTGGAACAGAATTTGTCCTCTTTAGGGATTTCAAGTTGCACGGAGCTTAGAAAATCTATCGCCCCAACAAATTTGTATGAATACCAAGGTTCACATCACCCTCCCAAGTTGCCGCGCACGAAGTCCTCTGGCTTTTCCAGGGAAGGTGGTATGTAACTTTATTGTCCAGAAAAATATAAAAAAAATTAATGCAAATCATGCCTCACTCATCAATCGTGTACAAAAGCGGACCAATTTTGGACCTATAAATAATCAGATTAGCCACTAAATATGTTCACCTTTACGAGAGAAAAACAAAATCATTAGAGTATCAAACCACTTTGCCAATTTTGTGGCCGAGAAAGGAAAATAGTCCATCCAAAATTTTTAATTTGTGAGGTTGATTAGCAAGGTACAAACCAAATTTGCAAAAAAATTAACATTTTGCAGTGTCAAGAGTGTAATTATTAGATAAAGTAGGAGAAATCAAGTTGAACCAATGTCATTTAATTTGGGTTTTCTTCGCATGAAAATGAAAGGCAGCAACAAATGAACTAAGGAAGCTTCACAGCAAATTCCCCTGTTCCTTCGTTCCTGTCTTGCCTTAGGCCACAAGATGTATAAAAATCCAAAATTATGAGAATGAGTTTACTGCTAATCACTGTCGCTATATGTACTTTTTGACGAATTTGATATCGTCCATTACGCAACTAATTATTTTCAATTCGGTCCCTGTACTAGAGTCCTTAATTACACAACAATATTAGTGAAATGCACCCTTTTTCTTGCCAGCAGTATAATACACCTTTGGAATATGGGATTTTCTTAACATCAAAAGATGGACTTATCTCAAGATGGTATAACTTATTTGGCAAAAATTTGCCGTTTGGAAAAGTTCAGCGTATTTAACGAAGACGGTCCCAAGATTACTAATTGAATTCGCAAGATTAACGTTTTACGGTTATTATTAGATCCATCGCCGATGTAAATTTTTTTATTTTTACTACAAAATTCACCGTTGGATGGAAGACGTATGAGTAGCGGTGGACATTATAATGATCCAAAGTTTTACACGGACTCTTTTAATATTGTTTTATCTCGACTTTCTTTTTCTTTTTTGGGCCGGTTTTGCGCGGACTCTTTTTATTTTTGGCTGATTGGAAGGAATGATTTGTCCAGATAGTTAGCTACGGTTCATTTTCATGCAAAACTGCGAGGTTCTCCTAAAGTGAAAGTGACCCGACATTATTCAAGAAGCAAAGCTGGGAATTCTGACAAAAAAGCCAAGATTTGCATGTCGAAACCCTTGAAATTTCTTTAGCTGATTAAGATGCAAATTTGTTTGGCACGTAAGATAAATGATTAAGACCACTTCCTTGAACGAACGAAATGAAGCTGTCTCTCCACGACAAAACTCGAAAAGCAACGGCAGCCAACGACATCAAATTCGAAAAATTTGAAGTTCGGGAGATGAATTGTTTCAGGACATCATCTGTCTTTGTCTCAACCAACATGCCCAACCAGTAGTCAGTATTATAAGGGTCTAATTCGAGAAAGAAAGGAAAAAAAAAAAAAACCTTATTTGGTGAAACTGGGGCCCAAACCCTTCTGAGGAATTCATCGTGTGTACCTGAAATTGGCGTCCAAAGTCAATGACAAATTTGCAAATTTTTAAACAAATTATTGGCCGAATTGTAATGTCATTCGAACCATCCTTTATTGGAAAGAGACTGTCACACGTGCTTTGGTAGACTGATTAAGCTAATTGGCTCCTAAATTGCGAAATCTGTTTTCGGACCGCGGATGTACGAGAAGGATGCTTTACGCGTGTTTTAAGCTTCAATTGATTCACGCCAAGGAAGGTATAGAATGATTGTGCGATCGCATGTTTTTATATTTCCTGCTGTGATTAGCATTGCTTAAGCCATGAGCATGGAATTTGCGGGGTTTTGGGCCTTGGAGCTTACTTCAAAGCTAAGGGATTAAAGAAGAGTAACCGCATCTGTCTTTTGGATGTGGTAACATGGCTTGTCAAATTGTTTCATCGTCTTGAGGGGGGGAGGGAATATTGTACGCATAGATATGGCGATTAGGAAAAAGATCCCTCTCCTTTTGTGCTGTTTTTTCGGGACAAAAGCCTTTTTCTTTCGGTGGAAAGAGATTCGTTAAATTTCGTGTTGTGTTCAGGTCATGTTCTCGAAAATGCGTCGTTCCAGTTCTCGAAACCGCGTTTGTTGGGTACCTAACTTGCGACCGACACGGTCTTAAATTATTGCCACTCCTGTTAATCGAGCTAATCTCTTGTGATGAACAAAACTTTTTCGGATGTGATCAAGGAGATTCTTGTTTGCTCCTTCAAGGAAAACATGCTGGAGATGATCGAGCTTTTAAGGATCTTGAAAAGCCATAAAGAATTCATTACTTGTTCTCTGAAATTTCGGATCTGATCGTCCTCCTCTTCCAAGCAAACTGCAGTAGAAAGGGGGTGCTTGTGAATTGTGATCATTTAGTCAATCATGGGTTGGACCAAAGTATCATGATGGTGATGAATTATTTGCTTTGAATAAAGGTCAACGATGATGAATTATTGGCTTTTGAAAATTCCATCCAAGATTAGAAAATAAAGACACGAAAATAGAGGAGGAGAAGAAACCACAGTAGAAGTGACATAAATGCGCTACAACCTCTCCAAAAGAGTGAGTAACTATGACATGACTGCTCTGCAAAGCCTTATCTGGAAAGAGAACATTGCAGCCGACCTGCTCTATTTAATGTAACCGATGACAACAATCTACTTCAATGGTTCCACAGACTGAGGCGCCACAAGCAAGAATGTAAAGAACAAAAAGATTTAAAAAAAGAGACTTGAAAATAATGAATTTGCTGTCTGTCTAAAGGAGATTCTCATATAAATTCTTCCAACCATACAAGGAAAACTAAAAATGGTTGGTGACCATGTTCATGGTTTTGTAATAATATAGAAAGTTACTTTCTTTTTGTGACTATCTTCATGATTTTTGTGAAATATCAAATTGTACTTTTTTCAACAGGAAAAATGAAAACTGTCTTGATTGGAGGTGCTGGTTTACTTCATGCTGTCCACAACAATCCAGCCAAAGAGAAAAGTAACAAGAACCATCTTGCACCCACAAGGCCATCTAGTGACAGATCTTTGGACTTGGACTTTAGGGTCAAAAAGCTTCTTTTAATGGCATCATATCATAGGAAAGAATCTGAATGATAATTTCTCATGATGATGATCCATCAAATCTGATACGACAAGTTTTCTACTTGGGCCAATACCTCCACTTTCTTACCATGGAGCCAGATTGTTCAAATCACAGTAGCCTTTTGAAGCTGATTATAATAAGCTCATTTTGCATCAAGGACCGAAACAGAGACAAATCCAAGACTAAGCATATAAATTTGGCAGATTATAACTTTACAAGCTGACTGAACAGAAAACAATTGGGCAGAAGAGCACCAAATGAGAAGTCCAACTGCATTTAGCTAAGTAGAACAACTTCCAGAGATTGATAAAAGTGACCACTACAACGTGAGGAGCTTTTATTTTAGCTTCCTCTACACAAACTGAACAGGGCGGTAAAAGGAAACGGCTTCTTCTATTAGATCCCGTTCTCGCTTGGGGCTCCAGTCATTATGCGCTGCACGCAGTTAGCGAAGATCTATGAGTTTTAACCATAAAGAAATGCGAGAAACCACGGGAAAGAAATGGACAGAGGATATGCATTACCTGAAAGCATGACAACGCGTAATGAACATCGTTTTCTGAGATCTGGTGGTGAACAACCAGTCTAACTCTGAAGAAAGACATCTTGAAATCAGTTTACTAATACATGATTTGTCAAGTTCACTACAAATAGACCATCTGTTAAATGATGGTCCACATGGGGAAAATTAGTCAAAACAGATGATCATCAAAGGCGAAGAGCGACCTGGTTGAGGTCTCCGGCATCATGAGTATTCCATGTTCTTCCAGGTTCTTGCACAGCTTCTGTACTGTCATGTTAGAGCCTTCGTTGATATCAAAGTATAACTGGTCAGAGCAAAGAGTCGGACATCAGTCGTGTTAAGGAGCCACGCCTATTAAGCTTTGAAGAAAATATTCCCGTGAAATAATGAGGATCCCTTTTTTCACTACTAAAACCAGCAGTACTTACAATATTAGTCTCCACAGAAGCAACATTCACTGCTAGCCCTTTAATCTTGTTTAGTCCCTCTGAATACATCACATACATCAGAAGCGCACACGGGATTAAGCAGTAAGTAAATCACAATGATAGAGTAGGTAACGATGTACAAAGTGAGGCGTCGAGTACCTGCCAAAATCTTTGCTTTCTTGTGATCACTTTCGAGCTTTCCAACATTTTCACGCAGTGCAACAAGTGCAGCAGCACATAAGATGCCCACCTGCCTCATTCCACCACCTAAGGTTTTCCTCAGCCTTCTAGCCTGAATTAACGAACTTAGAATCATTAAATTATCAAATTTGAATAGAAAAACGAAAGATGCAATTAGTATATGCACACGGTTTAATACCTTTGCGATGAAGCTCTCGGAACCAACAATAACAGATCCAACAGGGGCGCCGAGACCTTTCGATATACAGACCTACCAACAGTTTGACCAAATTAATAGAGAATCATTTTCAGATGCAGTCCAAAGTAGAAAATTAGTCGAAATCAAACTCATGTGATGCCAAGTGAACGTACTGAAACTGAATCAGCAGCTTGTACCAGCCTATCTACCGGAACTCCAAGTGCCTAACAGAATAAGATGAATGCAACCATTATAGTTAATGTTAACACGATGCAAGTATCTAAAATCATCTCTAGATAATTATCACTCACAACTGCGGCATTAAAGATGCGAGCCCCATCTATATGAAGCTTAAGACCATGCTTCTTTGCCAATTCTCCGACTTTATCAGTATATTCAACAGACAAACATCTGCCACCAGTACTGCGTTCAGAAAAAATGATATCATGAGACAAGCAGAAATGAAAAAGAATAAAGTCAACGGAAAAATGCATCATCCCAAATCCAGACATAAAAATAGCTCCATGGACTAAATGCCAAAAGTAAATAAATAGAAATCCATGGATAGAGCTTCATAATCAGATCTGGTCACTAGACCTCTCTTCAGCATCATCTGGCTCGTGTTTGAGGTAATTCTGGGCATGGCCAGCTCCCATATTGTAACATGAGGCCGTTGACAGATCAAGAGAAAAACTTCGGATATAGTTCTACCAAATAACAGAGACTTTGTTCATAAACCACATAATTCACATGGTTGTAGTGGATTAGATTGACCCGGCATTCAATGAGTTCAAATTTCTGTGCCACAACGAATAGCTCAGAACTCAACAGAACAGAGTCAGTGATATTGAATGGCCTGAGAAGACCTTTAGGGAAAGCAAATTACTTTCAAGCAGGAATTGACAGACTAAAGATATATGTTTCACCAGTAAAATAGGAATTCCCAATAAATTCTAGAAGAAATATGTCCCAGTTAGGTAAGCCAAACAGGGCCCTTAACTTTAACCGAATCCAATGTGACGAATATTGCACCAAGCTAACTAAGCACAATAATCAAATACAAACTTGCCAGGACATCTCATTCAAAACTTTGATAGATAGAGTTGCCTTACTTTGCATGTGAGTTCTCCAAGCAAATAAGCCTAGTAGTAGGATACACAAGCGCCCCTTTTGGATCCCTTATGGCAGCTTCAATCAAATCAATATCTATCGTTCCATCCTCGTTATTCTTCACCGTCCTTGGATGAACACCTCCAATCGTGGAAATCCCTCCATTCTCGTAAATGTGTATGTGGCAGTTGTTTCCGAGAATGACTTCGCTTCCTCGGACCTCACAGTGAACAAGAACGCTGATGAGATTTCCCATAGTGCCTGATGGAACAAAGAGGCCGGCTTCTTTGCCCGTGATCTTCGCCACCTCTGTTTCTAAGCGATGTGCCGTCGGGTCATGACACAATACGTCGTCATCAACTTCGGCATCGGCCATTGCTGCCCGCATTGCCTCGGTTGGCTTGGTGACAGTGTCGGAACGAAGATCCACGGTCTTGGTCACCATTTTTTTCCTGGAATTAAGCAACGATGGGGGAAAATTAAAAGGGAATGAAGGTATAAATATACAGAAACTCTTAAGCATCTGGTCATCCAAGGTTTTCACTTTCTGCAGCTATCACGAGTATACGCTATGAACAGTCTCAATTACCCTATCTTGTTTTCTGAATTAATCAACGTAAGCAATAAAGAAAAGGGGAACAAAGAATCCTGAATCTGACAACATTTTCAACCTCTCAGAATCTTTTAATATCTGCTTCAGCCTAAAGTTTCAATATTTGTAATCACCTTGGATTCCATATCAAAAGAAGACGTAACCGTCTAACTCTCATAGTCTGGTTCGAGTAGAGAAGTGCGAAAAGATCAATTTGAAAGGAGTAAAAAGGGGAATTTCGACAAACAGATGTGCTGCGACATACTTTCAGAAATAGACCAATGCTAAGAATGTCGCGAAAGACACAAAACGATGTAACATGATTAGAAAGCACCCCACAAAGATCATCTCCGCTTCAAACTACCCATCACATTCAAGAATGAATTCTCGTTTCAAAAGTTTGATCTTCTTTGAAAAATGCTCTTAAAAGAGGCCAATTCATGCATATTCATGCTCATTTCTATACAAGCCATCAAAACAATTCCAGAGATCAAACTCCGCACGTCTGATTGCGTGAGAAAGTTGTCATGATCATACCTGTTTGGGTAAAAAATGCAACTTTATCTCCTGGTTGTTCGACTCCAGAATCCCAACTTTCGGTGCGCTTAATTAGCAGAGAGAGAGAGAGAGAGAGAGAGAGAGAGATTCACTGGAACCTGAAAAACACCCATCCAACAAAAAGGAAGCAAAACAACAAACTTTTAGTCATCACACGATAAACCTCAAAGCAAATCTAAACACGAAGAGCTTATCAGAAAATTGCTAGAACCTAGAGAACTGCGAACAAAAAATACGTTGCTGCTGAAGAACCTCGTACAGAAAAATCAAAAGGCATGACAATTCATGAAAATGGAATGCTGAAAAACGCACATCCAAGAAAAGCGCAGCCAAAACTCCGCCGGGGACAGACAGGTATATGTACATACAAAAGCACTTCTGTTCGGAGAGATGCACGTCACATGTTTGGCCCCAAAGGAAATTACGCAGAGATTGAAAGAGAGGAAAAATTCTGGGCCATTAGTTGTGGCATCCAGCGCGGTGGACACCAATCTCGTCCATGCAATCCAAGTGGTTGCTAATGTCACGGCTTTCAATCATGCAATTGCAATCTTGGGCATTAAATATTATCCCCAAGAGGAAGGAAAGTTGAAAAATTTAAGGAAAGCAAATCTCCAACATCATCAGCCTACCTCAGAAAACCACTACCTAAATTGTGTGGCAACTCAATTCGTGGGCTAATGGGAGACAGAGTCCTCACATTGGTCAAGTACTAATGGTTGGACGAATTGGGTTTTGCTTGTTCCATCGAGAAAGTGGGATCTTCTTTCCCGGAACCTGGCTGCAACCCACTATTTGATGGTGGCTTTTTTGATTTTTCAGGGGAAGAAATGAGTCGTAGCGGCTTCCTATTTGCTGGGAAGAAGACAAATTAGGCTCGAGAAGGTGCTTTCTTTTCGGCTCCTTTTTGTGGCTGAAGAAGAGGAATTTAAACAGTTACCGTGTTCTCTTTAGAGGCTGCTAAGAAAGGTGGTGACATGTTAAATCAGCCCTTTGAGCCTCAGATCAGGACCACAACTCACTAGAATCTAATTCCTGTTCAATAAGCATAGAAAAAACCTACGTATTAAACAAGTGGGAAAATGTAGAGCGTACGTTTAGCGGGAAAAGTGTCAAAAAAGTCATAAACCTTTTGTATTTGTGTCAATTTAATCCTAAACTTTTTTTGTGCCAATTCAGTCCTAAACCTTTTGCATTTGTGCCAATTCAGCCCTAAACCTTTTTTTGGTATCAATTCAGTCCTAAACCTTTTGCATTGGTACCAATTCAATCCTAAACCTTTTGCATTGGTGCCAATTCAGTCCTTCGACACGTGAATAGCTATTAGCCGGAAAGATTGAATTGGCACAAATACAAAAAATTTAGTATTGAATTGGCACAAAAAAAAAATTTAGGACTGAATTGGCACAAATGCAAAATGTTTAACACTGAATTGACACAAAAAAAAGGTTTAGAACTGAATTGGCACAAATGCAAAATGTTTAGGCCTGAATTGGCACAAAAAAAGATTTAGGACTAAATTTGCACAAATACAAAAAGTTTAGAATTTTTTTGACACTTTTCTTTACGTTTGGCTAATTCACGCTAGGAAAATTCAACCCCTGAGGTCTACAACTTGGAAATTTCGCTTGATGCGCACAAATGATGGTTCCTAGAAGGAGGAGCTTTCTTAGGGCCACTCCAAGAGCCTCTTGTCCTAATAATTATCTAGTTATAGAAGGTCAGAGGGACTGCCATAATCAGGAGTCTCTTACACCTATAATTATCTAATTGAGATAAGATGATAAGGTCGTTATGACCTAAAAGATCTAATGATAATAACACCCCAAGTTGTTCAAGAACAACCATTCAGACGACGTCTATCTTCTTCCCCACAGTTTTTCTTATATTGACCGGGGCCTTTACGGTTAAGTTTCTATGCATAAATGGAAAACGGAGAGCATCACCGAGTAACATCAAACACAACAATCTCCAAGTTTTGGAGAAGAAAAGGACTCGCAAAAAAGTTAAAAAATGGGAGAATCTTTGGAGTCCACCGATTCTCAAGATCCTTCTTCGAATGGGGACCAAAACGTCCAAAAGTGCTAGAATTTGTGGTTTCTCTTTGAAAAGGGTCCACATCAATCAATGTCAGTGCAACTTTTAAAGAAGCAAATTTCTCTTTCTTCTTCGCCATATTCATGAAAACTATTCTCAACTCGAGAATCTCTCGCGTACGAGACCCCTTCATTTCCCTATGGGAAAGGACTAATCCATGAACCGAAACCCAACGCTTGTTTGAGACGTGCATGTTCCTCTGTGTTACCAAGTAAAGAGAACATAAAATAATAACAGGATAAATAATTTAACCATTACTTACAGAAGGGAGAAAAAACAAATGGCCGTACGGTCGCTCTCCTTGATAACTTTATGAAGCCAAACGAGAATGTTCCAACTTGTTTGCAAATTGCAATGACGGAATTGCAGGAACTAAGTACTTAAATTTGAGTTGTTTTTTTATAGGTGTACACTGCAAGCAAGCCAGAAGGAATGGGGGGGGAGAGGGTGGCTATTTATGCAGCTCTCCAATGGCGGCTCGTGCTTATCCGAGTCATCGATGTAGTCAGATGAAATGTTTGGTTTGGTTTCCTCTCTCTCTCTGATTAGCTGTGATCTCCATCTTGATGCAGGTGACCGTATTAAATTGGGGTTCATTAATGCTTTGCGGGGTGTCGTGGTTGACTGCTTTTGACCGATAGTACTAGGGAATGGACAAAGGATTAGACAGGTGACATCAACTGGCCTTCTTGTTCTTTAAAGAAATCTGTTCCCTTTGTACATTCATTTAAAAGAATTATCGTAATTTTCAATATACTGTTTCTCTCGCTTTGGCTGCGAATGATAACCATTCTGTTTCTCTATTTCTGTTCCAGAAATAGATTTGGAACAGAAATCCGTTTGGTAACGCAATTTTAATTTCTATTTCTGGAACAAATTTTTGTTCCAGAAATAGATTTGAAAGAGAAATCAGAAGTTAAAATTTTTAGCTTCTCTATTTCTGGAACAGAAATGAGAAACAAAATTTTTTTGTTCTTCTCATCACTTTCCCTCACTACTAGTCGGTCACTCACCCGCCGCCCATCGCCGGCCGCCGCCACCCGCCGACCGCCGCTACCCTTCACAGCCGCCGCCGCGGCCACCGTCTCTGCCACCGGCCTTTGCCTCCCACCACCGCCGGCCGCGACCACCGGCCACCTCCCGCCACCATCGGCCGCGGTCGCCTTCCGCGGCCAAAAAAAAAATTCCAAAAATCCTTAAAAATTGAAAAATTCCAGAAAAATTCATAAAAATTTCTAGAAAATAAAAAAAAGTCAGATTTCGGGAAAATAGGAAATTTGTTCATTTTTTCCAAAAAAAAAAAAAAAATTTCAAAACTTCACAGAATGGCTTAGAATACTTGTGGCCACTCACTTGAATGAAATTTAAATTTTTTGAAGTGCCCAAAAAAAATAAAAATAAAATCAAAAATTTCAAAACTTTACATAATGACTTAGAATATATGTGGCCACCCACTTTGTGTGAAATTTAAATTTTTTGAGGTGCCCAAAAAAAATCCAAAAATCAAAAATTTCAAAACTTCACGGAATGACTTAGAATATCTGTGGCCACCCACTTTGCGTAAAATTTAAATATTTTGAGGTGCCCAAAAAAATTTAAAAATAAAAAATTTCAAAACTTCACAGAATGGCTTAGAATACCTGTGGCCACCCACTTTGCGTAAAATTTAAATTTTTTGAGATGCCCAAAAAAAAACCAAAAAATTTAAAACTTCACAGAATGACTTAGAATACTTGTGGCCACCCATTTTAAGTGAAATTTAAATTTTTTAGGTGCAAAAAAATAAAAAAATAAAAAAAATTTAAATTTCACTCAAAGTGGGTGACCACAGGTATTCTAAGCCATTCTGTGAAGTTTTGAAATTTTTTATTTTTTGATTTTTTTTTGAGCACTTCAAAAAATTTAAATTTCACTCAAGTAGGTGGCCACAGGTATTCTAAGCTATTCTGTGAAGTTTTGAAATTTTTGATTTTTTTTGGAAAAAATGACCAAATTTCCTATTTTCCAGAAATCTGACTTTTTTTTATTTTCTGGAAAATTTTATGGATTTTCTGAATTTTTTTTAGATTTTTAGGAATTTTCCAGATTTTCTAATTTTTTTATTCTATTTCTAAAAGAAATGAAGCGATTGTCTGCCGCCCGCCGTCCACTCGCTGGCCACATGAGAAGGAGAAATTTTGTGCCGTTATCAAACAAATTTCTGTTTCTGAAATAGAAATTTTGTGTCGTTATCAAACATGTTTTTTAGCTTAGAAACTCCTCCAGAAACAGAAATAGAAAAATCAATTTCTGGCCAGAAATTGATTTCTGAAACAGAATGGTTATCGAAAAATCAATTTCTGTTTATGTGCGATGGATGTATCGAAATCGAATTCTTTGTGTCATTACTATTTTTTTTTTGGTTGGATGTGTTATTACTATTTAATGAGTATCTCGAGACATTCATTAATAAAGTCTTTTTGGAAAAAAAGTTATTGATATAATGTTGAAATCCTATGTGATTGTTCGCCTAATTCAAATTGAGCACTCTTTCTAGAGTTTGGGTTTAATCGGTAAAGTTGCCAGAGTTGCCAGGCATACATCAACACGATAGACAATCAAAAAACATAAAATAAAATAAAATGACGAATTGTGTTCAAAAAAGTTTCGTTTGTTTTGTGAAAAATTTTCTATCGGAAAATATTTTTCTTGTGGATTGTTTAGAAGAAGGAGTCAATATAAATTTTTTTAGAGTTAACAGACAATCTATGCTAAAATTTTGAAAAATGAACTCCTTTATTAAAAAATAAAAATTATTTTTCAAAATATGACTACACCCCGATGTGTGGGTCCCTGGCACTTGTGTCCAGGCCCCCCGAGGTCGAGCCAAGAATCCCAATGCCAAAGCCCAAGACCCAGACATCCGGGCCCAATTCTCCCGAGGATGAACCCAGATCCCTTGAGGCAAAGTCAAAAGCGGTGATCGTGAGACATGCTAAATTTTACTTCTATTTATTACAATAGTAATTATTGTGTTATATAGAGATAAAATTGCATGCTAAAATTAAAATAAATCATCATTAGTATGTTAATTAAGAGCTTATGTGATATTATATTACAATAAATAAGGTATGCTTAGCACCGTAAGATTTGAACATTAGATTTAGCGTACCTTAGATTACATAGATTTAATGAGAGTTTTATTATGATTACAAAGCGCCACTAAATTGATGAATATTAGGATAGTGCCATGGGTGGCTATACATTGAAAATGCCCAAAATGACTTTAAGACACAAAACTCTAATAGAATCTATTTATAAGGCTCATGTTTATCTATAAGGTCATTAATATTTACCGGACGGGATCAATGTACCCTGAAAAGCATATAGGACAATTATGCATTTTGCAGGCCCTGCTAATAATTTTGGTAGTTTTAAAGTATTTTTCTGACTTTTCGGAATTTAGAATGGACACCAAGTTCCATGATATGTGTGGAAATCTTAAAAACCTTTTGTAGAATTACCATGTTGCCTTCA